TGAGGTATTTTATATTGGGTTATCTTCAAGTTTACTGACTCTTGCCTCTGTTATCATCAGTATGCTTTTGATCCTATGCAGTGATTTTTAATTTTAGATATGTATTTTAAGTTTCTCCATTTCTATAATTTTTCTAGTTATTTCTCGACTGAGATTGCCTGCTTTTCCATTAATTTCAAATGTGTTTTCCTTTATTTAATGGAGTATTATAATAGCTACTTTATATGTGGTTACTATGATGTTGGCATTTGTTGTTTTTCCTGTTAGAATTGATCACATTTGTCTTGTTTTCTGTATGTTTAGCAATTTTGAGTTGTGCCCTAGATATTGTGGATGTTACATTGTACGGGCTCTAAGTCCCTATTATATTGTGCTGGAGATTGTTGATATTTTTGTTTTTGTTTTAGCACGCAATCAACCCAGTTAGTTTCAGAATATAGATAGGTCCACTGCCTCACAGTGATTCATATCACAGTTAACTTCTCAAAGCCTGTGTTTTGGTGTGCCCTGTGTGAGAGTCAGGAGTTACTCTGAGACAAGGGCAGTGATTTAAAGGAGTTTAGTTCTCTAAATGGGCTTAGGTCTGCCCATCAAATGTGTAGCTCAGGGTTTAGGCTGAAACTTGTGTGGGTTCAAACATGGAACCAGGTCATCCCCTTCTCTGCCTATTTCCCCTCTATGATTTTCCCTACACTTGCAAGAACCTCTTTTCCTGATTCCTCAGCTCACAAAGATGTGGTTTCTATTAGATTTCAGACACTGAGGTTGCCTCTCTTGTAATATTGTATAAATGGAGTCCACATAGGGGAAAGCTACAAGAGAGATGATGGGGAAAACTACAAAACAGGAAACTAAATGATGGTGTGTTCTAAGGCTTAGTCCCTGAACACCTCTATTTCCTCTCTACACTCACTCTCTAGGTGAAAGCATTCTGTAATTCCATAGCTTCAAACCTGAAAGCTGACAACTCTTAGACCTCTTCTAACCTCTGGACTAATATACCAGTTGCTTACTCAATACCTACACTTATATATGTAATAAACTCTACTTGTCAAAAAACCAAGGCCCTCCTCCACCGATACTGGATTACTTTTGACTGCATATAACAAAACACACACACACACACACACACACACAAGAAAACATACATTAAAAAAAAAAAGTCCACGGGTACAGAGGTAGACAGTCCAGAACATGTATGGCATACTCATTAGGCACCCGTACTCATTAGGCACCATACTCATTAGGCACCCAGGCCCCTTATCTCTTGATGCTTTTCCAACTTTAGCATGCTTCCTCTTGATGTTAGCAGGAGGGAGAACTGTAATGGGGAAAACATTTTTTTAAAAAAGAAATTACCAAGTTTTTATTTAAATTCAAGTTAGTTAACATATAGTGTAATATTGGTTTCAGGAATAGAATTTAGTGATTCATCATTTACATATAATACCCAGTACTCATCACAAGTGTCCTCCTGAATGCCCACCACCCATTTAGCAGACCCCCATCCACCTCCCCTCCAGCAACCCTCAGTTTGTTCCCTATAGTTAAAAGTCTATTATGGTTTGCCTCTCTCTCTGTTTTTATCTTACTTTATTTTTCCTTCCCTTGCCCTGTGTTCATCAGTTTTGTTTCTTAAATTCCACATAGGAGTGAAATCATAGGGTATTTGTCTTTCTCTGATGGTCTTATATTGCTTAGCATAATACACTCTAGTTCCATCCACGTTGTTGCAAATGGCAAGATGTCACTCTTTTTGATGGCTAATATTCCATTGTATATATATATACCATGTCTTCTTTATCCATTCATCTGTCGATGGACATATGGGCTCCTTCCATAGTTTGGCAATTGTGGACATTGCTGCTATAAACATTGGGGTGCACATACCCCCTTGATTCACTATGTTCGTATCCTTTGGATAAATACCCAGTAGTGCAATTGCTGGATCGTAGGGTAGCCCTATTTTTAACGTCTTGAGGAACCTCCATACTATTTTCCAGAGTGTCTGCACCAGTTTGCAGTCCCACCAACAGTATAAGAGTGTTCCCATTTCTCCACATCCTCTCCAACATCTGTCATTTCCTGACTTGTTAATATTAGTCATTCTTACTGGTATGAGGTGGTATCTCATTGTGGTTTTGATTTGTATTTCCCTGGTGATGAGTGATGTTGAACATCTTTTCATGTGTCGGCCATTTGTTTGTCTTCTTTGGAGAAATGTCTGTTTGCGTCTTCTGCCCATTTCTTGATTGGATCATTTGTTCTCTGGGTGTTGAGTTTGATAAGTTCTTCATAGATTTTGGAAACTAGCCCTTTATCTGATATGTCATTTGCAAATATCTTCTCCCATCCTATCGGTTGTCTTTTGGTTTTGTTGACTGTTTACTTTGCTCTGCAGAAGCTTTTTATTTTGATGAAGTCCCAGTACATTTTTGCCCTTGCTTTCCTTGCCTTTGGTGATATTTCTAGGAAGAAGTTTCTGCAGCTGAGGTCGAAGAGGTTGCTGCCTATGTTCTTCTCAAGGATTCTGATGGATTCCTGTCTCACATTTAGGTCTTTCATCCCTTTTGAGTCTATTTTTGTGTGTGGTGTAAGGAAATGGTCCAGTTTCATTCTTCTGCAGGTGGCTGCCCAATTTTCCCAACACCATTTGTTGAAGAGACTGTCTTTTTTCCATTGGACATTCTTTCCTGTTTTGTCAAAGATGAGTTGACCATAGAGTCGAGGGTCCATTTCTGGGCTCTCTATTCTGTTCCATGGATCTATGTGTCTGTTTCTGTGCCAGTACCATACTGTCTTGATGATGACAGCTTTGTAATAAAGCTTGAAGTCCGGAATTGTGATGCCTCCAGCTTTGGTTTTCTTCTTCAACATTCCTTTGGCTATTCGGGGTCCTTTCTGGTTCCATACAAATTTTAGGATTGTTTGTTCCAGCTCTGTGAAAAATGTTAATGATATTTTGGTAGGGATTGCATTGAATATGTAGATTGCTTTGGGTAGTGTGGACATTTTAACTGTATTTGTTCTTCCAATCCATGTGCCATGGAATGTTTTTCCATTTCTTTGTTGTCTTCCTCAATTTCTTTCATAAGTGTTATATAGTTTTCAGAGTACAGATCCTTTACCTCTTTGGTTAGGTTTACTCCGAGGTATCTTATAGTTTTGGTGTAATTGTAAATGGGATCGATTCCTTGATTTCTCTTTCTTCTCATTGTTAGTATATGGAAATGCAACCGACTTCTGTGCATTGATTTTATATCCTGCAACTTAGGCTGAATTCCTGTATCATTTCCAGCAATTTTTGGGTAACCTTCCCCATTTCAATAAATGTCAGTTCCATCCTTCCAGGTGCTCAGGCCTAAGTATCTTGGAGTCATCCATGATTCTTTTTCTCTCCTATTCCACATCCAACCTACCATCAAATGTTACTGATTGTACTTTTCAAATATATCCCAATATACCTGACCAACTCCATCATCGTGCAGGCTATTGTTGCCTTTCATGGACTTCTGAAATAGTCTCCTAAGCGGTCCTTCTGGATCTGCCATTCCTGTATGCAGAATTCCCAGATTACCTTCCAGCTTACTCTGAATAAAATCCAAGGAACTTACTAATAAAAAGCTATACATCATTTGGTCCTGGCTAGCCCTCTGATTAATTTGACTCTTCTCTTCCCCTCACTCATTCCATAAATATACCAAGCATGTACCAATTTCAGGGTCTTCATTATCTATTGATCTTTCTACCTTGAATGCTCTTCTCCTAGATGTCCCCATAGCTTTCTCCTTAACTTCCTTCATGTCTTTGATCAAATACCATATTATCAAAGAGACCTTCCCTAACAGCCTATCTAAAATAGGATTCCTTCTAGTAAATCTCTCCCTTTATACAACTTCCTTCTTAATACTCAGCACCATTGGACATTTTATCTGATTTTCTATGTGTATGTATAGATTCATACACATATACATTCTGTCCCTCTCTTTCTATATATAAATATGTAAAAATGTATAAACATTGAGGTACATATAGGAATTTGATTATTGAAGGGCTTCTCACTAGAATTAGAGTAGGGGCTTCATCCTTATCTGGTAAGGAAGACAGCAGTGAGCAAAAGAGATAATCAAGACAGATTTCTCTGAGAAGAAGGTATTTGAGCTAACGATGAATGAAGATGAGCCAGCTTTACTATAGCCTAGAAGGAAAGCACTCCAGGCAAAGGGAACAGCTACTCTGCAAGGCCCTACAGTGGAATTAAGCTTGTCATGTTAGGGCATTTGAGGATAGAAAGAAGCCCAGTAAGGGTAGAATTTAGAAATTATGTAGAGTGGAATAAGATAAGGTAGGAGAGACAGAGCCAGATCATGCAAAGTTTTGCCTGTCCCAAATGCAGTAGAAAAAGAGTTGCAAGCCTCTCTGGCACCTTAGCCATTCTCCACCCTTTGGGAAGCTGTAAGGCTACAATAGCCAAAGGCTATCTAGCGACATGCAGCTATTTAAATTTAATTAACTAAAAGTAAATTTTAAAATTCAGTTTCTCAATCGCATGAGTTCCATTCCAAGTGTTTTAATAGTCACACGTGGCTAATGACTACCTATTGGGCAGCATAGCACAGATAGAAAACATTCCATCATCACAGAAGTTATATAAAACAGTGCCGCTTTAGGAACTCCAGTCCAATGAGAAATAATGCCAAGTTTGCTTACCGTCTCCTCTGTGATTTTTCTCTTAACCCTAGAATCAGTATTTTTCTATTTAAATGGAAATATATGCGATGCCTAGAAAATTAGCATGGGGCCTGTTCCCTATGCAAATATTCTCACTGGTGATTTTTACCTATGACAGAAAAGATGAGAAGGACTGGTAAATCACAAGCATTCTTAACCTCATTATAAATACATTGCAAATGTAAAAATGCAAAGTGTGGAAGTCATAAATGTGAAAGCAGCTTTCAATTTGTTTTAATAGGTATTTTCTATGTCTTACTGTAACCTAGGGATCTTGCTGCAAGAAACTGCCTGGTAGGTGAAAATAACATTCTGAAAATCAGTGACTTTGGAATGTCTCGTCAAGAGGATGGTGGAGTGTATTCATCTTCTGGCTTAAAACAGATTCCCATTAAATGGACAGCACCAGAAGCTCTTAATTATGGTAAGAATAGACTGTTTTGCTTTTTGGTGGTAAAAATGTACTCCATCAGCACAAAACATACACAAGCAAAATTACAGGAGTAAAGCAGAGCCCAAGTTAGAATAATTTGAAAATCAACACAATGTGTGAGTAAGTATTCATATTTTGTACTTAGACATGAGCAGAGACTTAATTCATTAAACTTATTGGTCAGATTTCTATATGTAAGATTGCTAGATTTAAAAGATGGATATACTTATAAGCACTTTGGAGAAGGTTTTTTCTAATCCAAAAAAAAAGATTCTTTTTAAAGTGTTGCTGTGGCTCTGGACCGTTGCTTTTGAATGTCTTATAAATGGTACAATAACCTCATCTAATATCAGGTTTAAAATACTGTCAAGTCTATAGTTTCTCACTCTAAAAGTTAACATGGTTTCTTAGCATTTCGGTCTCTAGAACTTGTATAAGTCTTGTGGAGAGAGATGGAGGTTACATTTTTAAAACAGCAGGGATTTTGTGTGTGTGTGTGTGTGTGTCACTGTAATTGGAAATGAATACAGGTTGCATTATCTTGGTTGGGATAAAATGGGCTGTAACAAGATGGGTAATGGCTCAAGAATTGAGAGAGATTGTGCTTTAAATGAAATTATAAATTACATTTTCATTAAGGGAAGCAGCATATGAGCCATGGGTTGGTGAATGGGTATAGTAGGTTTTAAATTGAAATATCATAAAATGATTCTTTCTTTACTGATTTAAAATGAAAAATTCCTTCAATATGAAAAAGGCATTTATAAATGCCTTAATTTAATGCCTAAATTAAAGACAAAGCTTTTAAGTGAGGTACAATTCATATAACTGGAAATTAACCATTTTGAAGTGAATAATTAATTCAGTGGTATTTAGTACAGTTTACAGGATTGTACAACCACTACTTCTCTCTAGTTCCAACATTTTCATCCCTCCAAAATAAGAACCTTTACCCATTTACTCCCCATTCCTCCTTTCCCCCCAGACACTGGCAACCACATGTCTACGTTCTGTTGCTATGGATTTACCTATACTGCATATTTCATATAAATGGAATCATACTATACATTTCTTAAATGTTTTTGAGGTTCATCCATGTTGTAGCATGTATAATTAACTTAATTCCTTTTTACGGCTGAATAATATCCCACTGTATGTACTTACAATTTGTTTATTCAGTGATGCATATTTGGGCAGTTTTCACCTTTCAGCTATTGTGAATAGTACTATGAACACTGGTGTATAAGGATTTATTTGAGTACCTGTTTTTAGTTAAATTCTAGATATACACTAAGAGTCATATGGTAATTCTGTGTTTAACTTGTCAAGGAACCACCAATGTTTTCCAGATAAAGCTTTGGAATGTGATTGATTGGTTTGGAAGTTAGTTGGGGCTGATTCAGACACCAGGATCTGTTCTGTATTTTGTATACTAATGATACTATGGACTATATGTTGAATGTAATTGTTGTTATGAGAAATAGACTAAGTTATTCTAGTTCCCAGTAATGACATTTTTAAGCTTAAGACTCCATCGATACTAATCCTCACCCTAATTTGTCTTCCCATATGCTGGCAAGCTCAGAATCTAGAGAAAATGGCAGCCCTGATATTTTCTACAGTGATACTACTCTAAGGGTATATTCCTAAGATGAACAATCACAGGATAAAAGATTGTAACCTATTATTTATATAGAGGTTTTCTTTAATTGACAAAATATTGTTAACCCCTTCTTGTACATTCTTATAGCATTCCCATAAGAGGGCTGGAACTGGACTTAGGAGACCCTGAAATGCAGCTAGTCTCGAATTTGTTTTAACCCTATTGACCAGATCCTCGTTGTTGCCTTTGAAAGTCCTCTTACTATTATGCCAAGTGAAATTCTGCCTTTCAGTCAAAATGTGTTTTAGTTGAATTTCAAGCTGACTGAAGTATTTGCAAATCAAAATTCTATTTCCAGATACCTCTTAGAGCCAGACCTACAGCATTTTAAGTAATAGAGATATGAAGATCTTTGGTTGGCAATGAGGGACATTTTTTTTTTTTTTAGCAGTCTTTACTATTAATACAATGCAGAACAATTTACATGACAAAGGGGAAGAGATTTTTAACAGTAGATGAGGACGAAGTCTGGAATACTTATCCAACCCAATAGGGAGTTCCTTAGAGTTTAACAAAAGTGGAAAATATATCCATTGAACGACCTATTTCTTGTTATATGTTTTTCATGTTTTATGCAAATATCATTTTGTGATTGGTGGCAAGATTTTGCCTTATTTCCAAGGGTCTTTTCCTCACTGTTGCTGCAGAGTAGCTGAAATACTGCCCAAGTCTCCCATGACATGTGGGAGCAAAGTTGACAGAAAAATCCTTCAGTCTATAAGGAACCTCTCAGAAATTTTGCCTTAGGGCCATGGAGTTAAACTTATTTTCACCATTATTTTGTCATTAGTGTAGCTGTCATTTAATTTTTTAAAAAATGACACATATACTTGGTTTCTTTTTTTAAATCAAGCTATAGTAAAGAGCCTACAATGACATGTAAGCTCCTCTCCTACCCATCTCCAGCCACACAACACATAATTGCATATATATCCCCGCCCCCACATTTTAAACACGAAATGGCAGCATACTTGATAGTCTTTTCAGCATGTATTGCTACTGTGTTCAATATAGCTGTTACCAAAGGACTGTGTTTGTAAAGGGCAAATAGGAAACTCACCTTCAACTAAGAAATAATCTAAAACGGAAAAAGACCTTTTTTCATTTGTCACCTAAGAATTTTGGGCTGATGCATCCTCTAATTAGCCTGACATGACTAAGTACTCTGAAATAAGGAGGCAGGATTTATAGTGAAAAGAGTCCTGGATCAATCATCAGGGCCAGATTTCCCACCAGTTATGTCATATTAGTTGCATGACCTTGGCAAGTCATCTACTTCTCTACACCTATGTTTTCTAATTTGCAATTGAGAAGATTGTGCCTTTTCCATATAAGGGTATTGTTAGGATCAAATGAGATGGCGAAGTAGCAAAATTCCATACAAGTGTAAGTTGCTCTTAGCCCATTAAAATTATCCAGCAAGGTTCTGGTTCAACATGATGATGTAGGAAGATCCTAAACTCACACCTCCTCTCATAGACACACCAAGTCTATGGAACAATTTTCTCAAAAAAAAAAAAAAAAACCCTAAAAACTAGCTAAGCAAGTGCTACATATTAGTCAAACAAGAAAAGAAAAAACCCCTATCACAGCAGGTAAGAGAGGCTAAGACCATAGACTCCGCCCCCAGCACAGAGAACCATCATGAGGAGGGAACTAAAAACCCAGAGCTTCCCCCTGAAGAGCAAAGGGTTTAGGGCCCCCACTTCAGGCATCCCAGCATTTAAGACCTGTACCTAAGAGGTGAGCTCCCAAAACATCTACCTTTGAAAACCAACAAGGCTCACATCCATATAACCCATAAGACTACAGGGAACGTAAAAACAATTCTTAAAAGGCCCCATGCTTGGAATCACCTGCCCTAGGGCCCAGAGCAGAAGCTGGCAGATGCCATTTTCACATTCTCCTTCTCCTTCTGCTGCACCCCAGCGCACCATTATCTCTCAGAGGGGAGCTTTAACACATACCTAGTAGCCTGGTTTTTGCAGCTACCACACAGGGAACACCCCTTGATCATCAGGTTCTGGATGCCAGGGGGCTTGCAGTCCTGTGTACCATATGACTGTAACAGAGACACAGTTCTTGACAGGCTACCACCCCAGTGCCCTGACAGCAACATACCCATAGTCTTTACTTGCTTGTCCAGGAGCTGTGGCCTGAGGGCAGACTTCTTGTATGGCACCCAACTACAGGCCTGTGGAGGTTCTGTCCAGGAACAAAGGCCAGTGGACACTATCTCTGTACTCTCCCTGTACTTACTTGCCATAATCTCCCAGAAAGGAGTTAATACCCTTGTCTGATGCTTAGGTTTTAGCAGATGCTACCCGGGGACACCTCTATATCACCTGGCTCTGGTGGTCAGCAGGGCTTACTTTCACAGATCCCACAGGACCGTAACCAATGGAGAAAAAGTTCTTAAACAGCTATGCCCTTAGGACACAGTAAGAGACAGTAGGCCCAAGAGCTCTTTCTGTGAAAGAGGCCTATTGGCTTATCATCATAGCTACAGCCAGAGGTGCAAGCTTCTAATTGAACACACATCTAAGACCTGACTATAATCCGTTCCAGAGACATTAGAGGGCAGGCATAATCTTTATACTCTGTCCCTGCTGTATTCCAAAGCACCAGTATCTCTCAGAAGAGAGCTCTTAAACCGACCTGGTGTCCCAGTTTTAGGGGGTGCTATCCAGTGAATGCCCCCTTGGTCTGGCTCTAGTGATCAAGGCACACTTGCATTCCTGAGTCCCAGAGGACTGTAACAATCAGAGTTCTTGGCAAGCCAGCATTCCCCAAGGCACTGCACCAACAGCCAACTATGAAAGAAGCCTATTTGCCTGTTGGGAGCTTCAGACTGAGGGGAAGTCTTCAGGTTTGGCACACATCTAGAGGCTGAGGTAATGTAGAGTGGTAGCCACCATCTTTGCACTCTCCCTCTGCCTCATTACACCTCCCTGGTAACTCCCAGAAAGGAGCTTATGCACTCTTCTAGAGCCCCAATTTTTACAACTGCTGCCCAGAGGTAAGTCCAGATCAGCTGGCTCTAGTGGTCAGTGGGGCTTACACTTGTAGTCCCACAGGACTGTGGGACCTTAGCCAGTAGTTACGGTCTGGCTGCAAATCCAGCTCAATTTCAGTTTGGACACGATAGGTCTAGGAGCACCCTCAACTACTGTGAGCTATTAAAAATAAAATAGTCTGCATGGGCAATCACAAAGGTTTGAAAGACAGCAAAGAGCTAGGGCAAGGCTAAATGAGGACATTCATGTAATACGTGAGGTTACTTCTTCAAGACTGGGAAAGGTGCCTGTTCCTCAAATGCATAAAAACC